GTTATACTAAGGACATTACATACTCATTAGTTGGAATGTTCCTGAAGTACATAATACAGGATTTTCATTTAATAAGAAGCAGCTACTTGCCACTGCATTGTACATAAAATAAATTCTGAGCATGCTAATTGCTATTCAAGGATGTTCTACCTAATTTTTGACGGGTTTTCTTCCCTTCCCCCATTAGACTACACTGTAAAAATTGTGAGCAGAATGTGTTGCTATAGTTTAAAAGCCTTTGTATGATATCTTTATTTCTGAAATCTGTGTTCCTGCAATGATGAATATTGAAGGCTTTAATGCAGATTTTAAAGAAAAAAGAAAACATTACCCGAAGGAATATTGTAGCAAGAAAGCAAAACACACACACACACATATATATGTATATACACGTGTGTGTATCTCAGCAAAAGAACTCTTCAAGTCATCGCCCCCCATCTTGAAGAACAAACCTAACTGTAATTAATTGGTATAGTTCCTCTATCTGAACACTATTAGTGCATTAGTGTTAACCAATATATAAGCTTTCCCCTCGCTGCCCTGCCAATGACCTTAAGCTTCACATGCTAGGAAGGCCACTTGCTGTAGAATAGAGAAGTAATTTATCCATCATGATTGTTCAGCCCTGGCCCCTCTGTAAAACAGTGACTGACAATTGTGCTGTGTTAGGGACGGTACGTTTGTGGTATGTACCATAGTGTGCAGAGCACCAACCTCACTTCCCTGGAGACTGAAGGCAGGGTTCAAAAAGTAATCCTAGAAAGAAGAGATCACTTGCTGAGTGATGGCCTTACATTTTAAAATAATTTCTTTTCCCTCTAAATATTTCCCCCCTCCTTTTTTTTTTTTTGCCCCAAAGAGAAACTGATACCGTTTTCTCAGCTTAAGTAAGAGCAGTATGTACTTTTCCATTCATAAAAGTATGTCATATTAAAAAAAAAAAAAAAAAAAAAAAGTTACTTTGCTTTTATTTTACCTGAGATTTCCTTGCTTCTTTCCACATTTCAGGATTTAGCATATTCCTTCAAAACATAATAAATTTCGATTCTGTAGCTTAAGGGATCCATCAGTTAAAATGTTAGTCTTTCATCTTTATTACCCTCCCATTAAAATGAAAGAAACCGGGACACACTTCAGTTTAGAAGAAGCAATTTAGTTGGTAATGTCCTTACTACTCAAGTCTTTACAAAGAGAGAAAGTGCATTATTGCTTATATTTCACACATCTATCTGCATAAGAAGCAACTAAAGCTTTCAGACACATACGATGTTAAATTTAATAATATTCTTTGATTAGATTATTTTATTACAACATTTTTCCATTACCAGTCATTTCCTGTACACATTTACATTCATAAAACCTGCAGGTTTTTCTTTGTTTGAGTGTGTATATATGTATTCATAAAGCAAGGAGAAGATTTTCTGGTTTGCTACAGCTGTTAGATTCAAAAAGAACAGATTAATAACTGGCCACCACGTAGGACTAGGTTTTCTTGTACACCGCACCAGTAACCCTTTGCTATAATGAGGACACAAAGAGGCTCACATCAGGCTGCTCCTCTTCCTCATAACTCAAAAGCGTCACAGTGGCAATAGCCTCTAGTGCTATTTGTCTTTAGTGCAGTTGTGACACTTCGGCATGATCCATAATTTGGCAGCTATTTACCGTGACATTTCCCTTCAGTGCAGCCATAACATTCAGTGAAGCCATTATTTGGTTCCATTTACCATATAAATTGTATTGTCGTGCATGCATGCTAGCAGCTACATTAGGTACCTGAAAATGAGTAAATCTTGTAAAATAGATACTAACAGCTATTCAGCAGAGAAATTTCTTTACTCCTCAGACAGAAGTAGGAATATATATATAATAGCTGCAAACACCACTGCAAACTTTTCCTTGAGAGACTGTAATTATTTGTATTTCCATGACGCAGCAGCTATTCCTATCCACTTATAAAATATATACATTATATGTAGACACGCACATGCACGCATACAAACGTACAGCAAACTATTGCTTGGTAGGATTCTAACCTAATTCAGAAAGGTATTAGCAGATTCCAGAGTAGCAATTAAGCAGGAAGCATATCTGTAAAATGTGCTGAGGGTTGCAGGCCAGGAGAGAGCGAGTCCGTGTGTGTCCGTGTACGCGTGCGTATGCACACATGTGACAGACTCAGGAAAAAAGCCAGCTCTTCATCTAGTTCTTTGTTGTTTTTCCATGGAAGCATATGTGTGTAGGAAAGGGAAATTCTGTTATTAGCCTCAGCAAACAATGCCAGATTCCTCTGTAGCAAATTCATTTAGAAAGGTAAAATTAGGATGTAGTGCTAGCAACCACATCTCAATGAGCTGCTATTATTAATAGTATTATTATTTAAATCCCTGCTCTCTACATATAGTATACTTAGTACTTCCCAGGCAAATGTATTATTATTTTTAATCATTTAAGTCCCCACTGCGCACACAGCTTTTAATACACCTTTTTTGCAAGCATATTAAGTGCATTGTTATTAATCCCTTGCTGTGACTCTACAGTATTTCTTTTCCTTGTATGTTCAATGTCCTATCATCATTTAAACCTCTCAGTGTGTGCATGCCATATACGTTTTCCTATCCATCTAATATTTAAACATTATTTAAATCCATCACAGCTTACTTATTCAAAGTCAGCCTTGCTCCTGTAACTGTAAGTTTGCAGGATATACTTTTTAAATAAAGAGAAGTTGGCTTTTTTTTTCACCCTGCAACCCAAAAATTATTATGAATCTCAGCAAAAAAAGCCTTATCTGTGTGTTTCAGAAATATTTCTCTCCCTCTCCCCACTCATAATACTCTCTTTCAGCAATCAGAACAATAGAAGTTGTATCTTTAAAGGAAAAAATTCCTTTTTCATTCTAGACTCATTCACAGAAGAGTAATCATGTATACCCTGAGTTACCCCTTTAGCTTAACACTGGCAACAGATGAAAAGGACAAGCCCAATGGCCAGAGCCCAACCAGAACAGCTAAAAAGGTACAAAATTGGTACACTAGTCATACAAGTTCAGCATAGAACAAATTTAAACTTTTAATTAATGCTGTAATCAGTATGGAAGTGCTAAATACTAAGTTTGAAACCAAAATTAAAACCAACAAAGCGTCATATCTGAATATATGTGAACCCTCCAAAGGTTCCTCTCTTGCCTTATTTTGGCCAGTGAAAAGAGCCTGGGACAGTTGCATTATTCAGTCTTATAGATAACGTAACATATTAAAAAGAAAGTCAAATGCTGTATGCCCAAACAGAATCCTTATAGAATTGTTTTTTATGACAAAAATATTTGGAATTGGCTACCTCGGAAACATTTAAATGTTTTGGACTGACAGCGTTCAACACCTCTGAATGTCAGTCCCCTTGGAGGGGTTTTTTGCCCCAGTATATCCCAAGCAGGTTGGTGTGTGTTGTTGTGGTTTTTTTGTTTTGTTTTGGTTTGGTTTTTTTTTGTTTGGTTGGTTGGTTTGTTGTTTGTTTTTTTTTTTTAAGATGTATTTATTGACCAAGGGCACCGCCTTTTCTCAAGAGAAAAAACAAAACAAAAAACCCACAACCACGTACCTAGGAATAAAATAGTGTGAACTTCATATGCTCTGATCTTGTATGTTGTATGGTACTTGAGTGTTTGTCTTTCTAGCCTCCAGTGGGAAGGCAAATATACCTTTCTAATTATGCAAAACACCACAATATTGGTAATATTAGAAGGCAAGGAAGAAGTATGTTTTTAAAAGCAGATCTTGGTGAAAACAAAAATCATAGCAGTTTGATGTTCAGCTTGAGTAAGAGAGAAATGGTAACAAAGACTCAAGCCACTCTGCCTTTCCCCAAAATCCTCTTAAAGAGGGACTAAGCCCAGTAGTCGCACGCAGCCCAGAAAAGGGACAGTTCTTCACGGCACACAAGTCTCTAGGATGCTAGTGTGACATATGCACTAAAAAATCATAGCAAGAATGCACCAAATCAAAAGTTAAAAATGCTTTTTCTACTGCCTGTACTACTAAGAAAAATCAATTTTTTTTTCCCTATATGTTGCTTTTTAAAATGTCTCATACAGTCAGTCTTGAATAATGCCCAAAATTGTTTACCCTGGATTCTCCCCTTCAACCCCTACACACTATCCGTCTATTATTAGTTTTATTATGAGGTGTATGGTCTTAGGAAATTTCCATCTCTCCAATTGCATACAAATGTGTATAACTTCAAAAGATGTGGCAAAATCAACCTTTAAAAGCTTAAAACGTTTGCTATGGAAAAAAGATGGTAAAGCAAGCATAGTTTAAAGTATTTTATTGTTCTGGAAAATATTACACTTCTAGCTGGAATTCCCACTGTATGCACTGTTAATAATATCTACTAAGTGAGGAAGAATTTTCAGAACTTTACAAAACCTTTTAACTGTACCCACCAGATAATCCATGGCTGAGCGTCAGCACGTGCATGAGGTACTGTGACTGTAGATTTAAAATCATCTTGCTATTTATAAAAGGGCTTCTGCATAAGAAATATTCAGTAAAGTAAAGGTAGCAGCCTGATGAAGAATCATCAGTCAAAGAACTCTACAACACAGATTATCTACAAAGGATCTAGTAGCAAGAACCGTATCGATACGAATTAATGCCACAAATATTTAAACAGATTTTTTAACTTTATTAAATCTTCAAAAAATATACAGAACCTTGAACACATGTGAACATGGCTCAAAATCCCACTCCAATAATCTTTTAATACTGACTAAAGGGGAGTACAGACAGTAAACAGTAGCAGTAGCAAGAGGCAAGAAAATGAGATTATGTTGTAACTGGTAGTGAAAGATTTAAAAGAAAATTGCACAGTTGTTTATAGTTACGAAAGACATCATTAAAAAAAAAAAGCTAAGTTGCTTTTCTTAATATTACTGATATGTCAGAACTTGAGGATAAATTTCCTTGTGTAACCAGTCAAGGAACATTACTATAATCCATGTTGCAACTGAATTATGATTATCATATTTGTGACAAAAAAAATCGAGCATATTTTCCAGAAACTTCAAGAGATTAAATGGAGCAACCACAAGATACAACTCTTTACTTCTGTCTTGTTCTAAAAATTTTTTTTTTCTTAAATTAAGGAATCAAAATTGCTGGTTTTTTTTTTCTGAGCTGAGCTATATATAAAGTCTTGTCAAACCAGTCTGACAGACTACATGTGCCTCTGCATCAAGACTTCTTCTGTCAAGAACAATGTTCTTGTCTCACACTAGCCTAAGCAACAGAATCAAACACAGGCCCATTAAGTCCATTTTATAGCCACTGATTTAAGCACTTTTAAGAAAAGGAGAAAAAAAGAAACCAAAACAAAACAAAAAAAAGAAACACAACTTTTTATTAACACCTTAATACTCTTTTTTAATATAATATCCGTTACTAAGCTTGGAAAAAAGAAATTATTTCTAGTAATTCTACAGCATAAAGTGCCCATTTTCTCTCTTCTGATTTATATCATTGTTCTGTTTTTACAGCTTACTGTTGACAGAGTGAGGTAATTCAACTACAATTTTTCCAATGTTTTTTCCCATGTACATGTAATCTACAGCACGGAATACAGACTCCAAGCCAGTGAACTTGCCCTCTGGAGACATGTCTCCAAAGTCCACCTCGCAAACCAGGTCTCCTCTTTCATACATCTTGAGCAAGTCCTTCAGAGCCATTTTGTATTCGGAAAGGTAATGGTTCAAGAAGAAACCCCGGATGCTGGCAGACTTCTTCACCAGTTTTGCTGGCAGTAACTCTGCTTTAATGGGTGAGAGGCCAGTACGGTTTTGGTAGCCAGTGATAAACCCAATAACTATCAGGCGCCCTTTGGTAGCCAAGGAGTTAAGAGCCAGGTCAAACATCTTTCCCCCCACAGATTCATACACTACATCCACACCTTCAGGGTACTCCTTCCTAAGAACAGACTCAACATTTTCAGTTTTATAGTTGATTGTACGGTCACAGCCAATGGATTTCAGAAAACCACCCTTTTCATCACTGGAGCAGGTTCCAATTACATGGCATTCTGCCTTCTTTGCAAGCTGCACAGCAAACTGGCCTGTTCCTCCAGCCGCTGCTGTCACCAGAACCTTCTTGCCTTCAGACAGCTCTCCCAGCTCTTTCAAACTGATGTATGCAGTAGCACCACTTACCATCAAAGTAAGAAACTCGGGTTTCACAGAGGGAAGAGGAACTGCTTGTTTGGCAGGCACGACTGTGTATTCAGCAAAGGAACCTGCCTTCACGTAGGCCACAGCTTGACCCACCGAGTAATCGGCGCTAGCACTGAGTCCTAACGCTACCACATCTCCCACACCTTCAAACCCTACATCAAAGGGGGGTTTAACTGACGCGTCATATCGACCAGCTGAGTAGTTTATGTCAGATGCATTAATGCCGACAAATCTAGAAGAAAACAAAAATGTATTAACGAGATGTATTCCTTAACAAGTGTTCGTGGTATGAGAAAAATTCCATTTAAATTTGTGGGATAAGTATGAGGCTTCTTCCTCATTATTGGTGTATTTGAATAATGAGGATGCTCCAGAGACTACTTCCATCAGGCTTCCATAGGTAACATTCTATTACTCTAGAATTAAAGATAAATTTGATAAAAGGAAAAAAATCACCAACCAACTAACCAAAATCTCACAGAACAACCCCAAACCAACTTATATTTTCCTCAGGTCCATTTGACCAAACTAAGCAAACTAAAAATACTTCTGTACAAGATTCAAGGATAAAAATTAAATGGCCACTTTATACAAGATGTGAGAACACTGAAAAATAAAATGTGCAAAGTGGTAAATATGTGGATTCTGGCAACAAATTTACATTTTTGAATATAATAATACTGTTAATGACTAATGATCATATTAACTATCGATGTCATTTGCAAGGTCATGTTACTGTAGGCAAGTACTTTTTAATTGATGGAGTCACTACAGCAAATTTGCCTTTTGACTGTAGCCAATGTAAATGTTAAAATATTTTCTTTTATATAAATTACATGCAACACATCAAAACAACCTTGCACAGAAGGACTCAAATTAGAAGACTATCAAGTCCTACTGACCTCTAACAGGTGAAAATGTATGCTAATTTTCTTTTTTTAGGAAAAAGATAGAGACATTGTCACAAGTGGATTAAGCAGGAGGAGCTAATGCTTAGTAGAAAGTTACAATCTAGCAATGAAAGAGACTGGGAAGGATTCTGATAACTGGAAAATGTAAAAAAAACCCAAACAAACAAAACCAACATAGAGCAGAAAACGCCAGAACTTTTTCTCCATGTGGAAGTGACAACCCAAAAGGTGTACCCTACCAGGCAAGAGCCGCAGGAGTGTGCAAACGGAGCACTTTCAATCGCTGCCGTTTGCAATAGGCTCGTCCCACATGCGTGTGTAGTTTTAAAATGCTTGCAACAGAACTAAAAACGCTTTGCTCATTTTGATTTCCTCCATTCTTTCTAGAATGGGGAGCCTCAAACTTTCACCAGCGTGATGTGTTACATATGAAAAGACACGTACGTGTAAAGCTATCTGTGCATAACACAGGTAAGTGTGACGCTCTTTTAATTCTGCCTTTAATTCACTGCTCAGCCGCAGAAGAGCCGCCTGCGTCTTGTCCATAGGTACAAAACGTCGCCTGTGCCCCTGCTCCGAGGTGACTCACAGGCAGTACTGACAGGAGATGGACAACACCGCTAGCGGAGCGGCAGCTCCCGAGGCAGGCCGCGTCCCT